GTAAAAAGGTTGTTGAAACAGCCCAAGTCTCAGGCAGATTTTAAATGAGGCTTTGCCTGTCTTCAGGAGCAATGCCTGGTTTTCACTGGAGGCACAAGGCTGGGTATCTCTGAGTAGCTACAGCTGAGCATTTTCCCTGCGGGCAGGGAAGGGAGGCAGCAGTCCCTGGTGAGCCACCAGCCGCGGCGGGGTTAAGGCATCACTTGGCAGCTGGCAGACGGATGTTTGTGCTCGGCCAGGGGCCTCTCAGGGGCCTCAGACCAAGTGTCCTTTGAAGTTCCCCACCCTGGGGCACTCCAGAAGGTTCATCCAAGTTAATGAAAGGCAGGCTCCATCAGTTAAAACTTCATTAAACCTGCAGAATGGATGCTAAGCCCATGCTTTAGCTTAATTCACAAATGAGATTGAGTAAAGCGTTTACCAGCTCTCCCTGACCCAAATCCCCAGAGGCTCACTGTGTTCGCTCACGATTTGCGAGCTGAAACGTCTCTGCAATCCTTGCTTCTAGGCCAGGCTGTAAAATGGGGCCGCGGGTGTTTCCTTGTGGCCGCGATCGGGCGCTGAGGTGAGGGCTGGGCGCTGAGGGGGCTGTGCCGGCGGCCGCCAGGCCAGCGCCTTCCCGCCTTCCGCCTTCCCGCCTTCCCCAGCCGGGCGGGGCCGCCGGTTCCCCTCAGGCCCCTCAGGCCGGCGGCCATTGCCCGGGCCCCTGGTCCCGCCTCAGCCCTGAGCAACCCCTCAGGGAGAGAGGGGGGAGGTTGGATACCTCCTCAGGGAGAGGGAAACCTGTGGAAGACGTTCCGTCAGTTTAGGTTAGTTTATGGCTGCTGCTCCCCTGGGTGCAATGCCAGGATGTTACCCCATAGTCCGAGGGGCCGTCTGAGCCCGGGGGGGTCCTCACCAGCTGCAGCCACTCCTCATCCCAAACCCGACCCACACGGCTCCCCTCGGGGTTCCTCCACCCGAGTGTGAAAACCGAGATGGGCTGAACGCCTCAGGAGCCTGCGTCGCCCCGAGGTGAGTGCTGGGCACCTGCAGGGTTTGTGGCTGTGCCCCGGCATGGCGCTGGGGGACAGGGCCGTGCCACCCAGCGAGGCTGGCGGCCAGCCCCGCGCCGCCACGGCAGCCCCGTGACAAGGGCCACCAAGAGCCCTCCGGGCTGTGCCCGCTGCCCTGTGTGGCCCCGCTGCTCCCTGGCGGCAGCGGGGCAGCAGAAGCTGGAGGCTTCCAGAAAATTCCTGAGGTAGGCGAGCGGGCAGGGCCCTCGATGGCCGCGCTGGTGCTTGCAGGTGTTGGCCGCTGTTTCTTTCTCAGGGCTCGGGGGAGCGGCGGCGGGAGGAAGGGACTTTGCACCACCACCCGCATGCCCAGGCTGCACAGCCGTGCCTGAAAGGCTTCAAAAAGTCCAGGTGTTTCACTGCTTTAACTTACTGTTAGTAACCACCAGAGGGTGACGTGCTGAAATTTTAACATTGTAACTACAGAAATGCAGCATTAAATTCTTCAGAGGTCAGAGCTCCTGGTAAAATTCTGCTGGTAAAGAAGATGTTTTATCTTGTGAGCTGTCGGTGAGCTAGCCGCTCCTCTGCTGATCTCTTGGGGCACACCAGACACAACTGGTTGTGACTTTCCTGTGGAAACCTTTTTCCTCATGGAAAAATAGTGAGCTGTTGAAACTGTGGGAAAATAACTGTGAATTCTGCATTTTTCTGATGTGAAGGAAAAAACATGAACTGATTTGAATACAGTCAGTGTAACCATTTTCACTAATATTTACAGGAATATATTTAATTTACTCTTCTCTTTGGAAATTTACATACTCCTTTTTTCCTTAGGAGACCAGAAAAAATGAGTAAAGCGTGTTTCCAAGTGTTAACATCCACGTTCTGAAGGTGTGTGGTGTCTCTTCCACCCCAGAGGGAGACTGTGCTCCTCCATGCTGCTGTGTCACACCTCCCCTCAACCCTGCCTACCGGGTTATCCCCCCCCCAGCAGCAGTGTCCGATGCCACACAATTTATTGCTCCCCATTGTGCACTACATGCTCCCTTCATCCCGGTCGCTGTCCTGCGTGCCAGCTCATGATTGCTTTCATTCTCTGCAGAGCATGAGACTGAGACTTAGGTGCATGCAGGAGTAGCCCATGGTAGGACCAGTGTGACTGTGAAACAGTTAGATGTGGAAAGTTAAGCATGAGCAGTTATATAGTGGAAATTGCTGTAATTTCTAGGTGTATAGATGGTGCTGATGAGAAACAGGTGAGATTTTGAGTGACTGATGTTGAAGACTCACGTTTCCGTAGAGATTAGAAAAGAACTTGCTTGATTGTTTTGGGCAGAATTGGCTACCCATAGCAGGCAGTTATGAGAGCTAATGTGGGAGGTTACCAACAAATAGCTCCATGCTTAATGACACGATCCATTCAGCTGCAGTTACTTCAGTGCTGAACGCTGTTCCTGTAGGTGTGAATTCTGTGGGAAAGGTCACACGCATCAAACTGCAAACTAACCATGGAATAGCCCCTGAGCCCTAGGGATGCGCCAAGGCTGAGGCTCTTCACCTCCATGAAAAAAAATAAAATGAAGGTTGAAATGTTACTGTGTGGGTGTGTAGAAAAAGATTCTTCATTGCATGTGTGCAAATGCAATTACGTGGTACTCAAACCACCCCGTAACTAGCTGTGACTAGTGATCAGCATGCTTATACCATTAAAGATCTTTGCATAAAACAGAAAAGGGCCAAATTTAGCACTGCAGGAACTAAACAGGTGATGTCTGGAGCTTAAGCAATTAATAATTAAGAAGCAGGAGATAGAAGATACCATCTGAGAAGAAAACACACTGTGTACTTTAGAGGTGACTGCTGAAGTTCGTTCGGGGTGAGGATGTGACTTGGATACTTCATTCCTGGGCAACATTTTGTCAAACTACTGGTATGTTGCAGATTTAAGACTCCAGTGGCATAGGGATTAAGAGAAAAGGATCCCTTGCAACTGTACTCCTTGCTCAGTTGTGGAAGTTTAGGAGGTTTTTGACTTCTTACAGAGTTTCACTGCCAGAAGCACTTTCTAATTTCTATGGCTAGACAAGAACTTGGAATACACACCTTGTTTTCTTTTTTTTTTTCTCTTTTTTTTCTTTTTTTTCTTTTTTTTTTCTTTTTTTTTTCCTTTTTCTCCTGATCCTGTCCATTAAGCAGGGAATTAAAAGGGCTGTAAGTGGTTGCTTGATAAAATCCAGGCATGCAGTTTCCATTTTAAATCTCGAGTGTATGTTTTTATGCTACAATACTGCTGACTTTGCTCTAGCTATACATAGTTCCTTGCCCTCTGTCCAAGACATTTTTAACTCCACTGTTCTGTTTTAAAGAAAACTGAGTTGGAGAAGAAACATGCTTCTAATTCAGTCTTGTTTTTAACCTCAGTAGAGATGGAAATTGAAGTTGCTCTTGAGGGAAGAGTGATAGATGGACCAGAACTACTTAATATCAGAGTCATAATTCATGCTGCTCACATCTTGTCATAGAAGTACAAATTGTACTGTTCTTGAAATTTCATTGCTTTTTTCCACCCATTTAAAACAGATATTCAATCTTTTCATTTTGGGAAAAGAACTTGGTGTCTTCATTGATTTCAAAGTACAAAATCTTCAAGCAAAACTTGACTTCAAGGATTATGAGGTAAATGTTAGCTTGATAGCGACAATTAAAAGCAGAGGTTTTGTTTCTGCTTAGTCACTTATCCTATATGTTTCTAGGTAACAAGCCTCTTTACTACTAACATTTTATATGTACTACAAGTATAGGCAGGCTTGTGAATAGGCTGCATTTGAGAAATTCAGTTTCAGCTGAGTCAAGTTCCTAATGATTATATTTAATGGTTATGGTCATGGGCCCATCCCAGTTGCTGTGAACTTCAGACAGACCCTGCCCAGTGGCAGATCCTCAGTAGCCTAGTGAATTCAGTAGGAGTTTCTCTTCTAGCAAAAACTATAAAGGTAAAAAAAGGAGGAGGTCACCCTCTTGTGGATCCATGAGTGCAAAGTGTACTGCTTCCAATTGTTCATCATTGCTCCCTGGCTATACTTTCTTGCCTTCACAGCCTGTTATCCATTGACAACCAACTGAGCAGTCTCTGTACAATTCTAGTTCTGCTTCAGAAAAACACGTGTCAGATTCACTGTGACCTCAACAAGGCCAACAGCTGATTTCAGCAACTCTGCCCGTCACAGCTAAGATGCTGGAGCTGCACTCTTCTCCCTGTTTTTAACTGACATGCTGTCAAAATTTTGTTGTGTAAGCCAAGTTGCAGTGTGTTTGCAACATCAGTGCTAACGTGGCTGGCCTAACAACTCCTTCTGATTACAGTTTGCATATTGGAATTGTTTAATCTGAAGAGAATTAGTAGGCTAAGCAGAGTTGCTCCTGACCTGGGAGCTAAAGGAGATGGCTTCATCTTCCACCCAGCTCCAGAGCTGTCTTAGAGGCTTTCTTCATGGTAGAAGAGCAGATGAGAGCCTTGTCAGGATAGTGGCTGTCAGCCTGGATGGATGTGCTTGTAGCTGGGAGGAGTGTGCTGGCGGTGGAGACTGTGGTTGGCAGAAGAATTTTCACTATGTGGAGCCCTGTGATAGAGGCAGTACAGTTTCTTAGCTGCTTTCTTATCTGGCTACAAAGATCCCACAGAAAACTAAAAAGGCCTCTAGAGCATAAATGACTGTGTTTTGAGATCTGTACTTGAGCACTTCCTGAAAATTTGATGCAGTACAATATATGAGGCAAATACTTCATCAGGCATGTAGCGGTCATCAGAGAGCTTCCTTGGGAGTGGTAAGGAAGGGAAGAGGTATTAATACTTGCCCAGACAAGCTTTACAATTTCTTTTGTGACATGTAATGCATAGCAGAAAGAGGAACCATAGGTTTTTCTGTGATAACCATAGATTCTGAAATGAGAAACAGCAGGCAGGAAAATCCAGCCAATAAAAGACAGGAATGTGTAGCCATTGTAGTAAGCTTTTAAGCCTTTCAGTGCTATGTCTTCATAACTCAAGTGTTACCATGCATTAGTGTTGTTTAGGGAGAGATGTAACTCAAAGTTTTTCACTTTGATGAGCGGACTGATGTTCTGCAACAGAGAATGCTGGAATAGGGAACACTGATTCCTTTCTGCTTAGCTCAAAAATCTGCAAAAGCTTTACATTGTTAACTGACTCTCAAAACTGTAAGCATCTATTACTATCAGTTTCCATAGCAGACTTGTTTCTCCTTTCTTAAGCCTCTCTGAATTTCCAGTGCATAATTTTTGTAAATCCTTGGTCTAGATCTTAATCAAAACTTAGTTGGGGAACGTGGTACGTGACCATAAACTGCATCTCTAAATGCAGTTGTTCTGTTGAAATCAAATGTCTCGGCCCTTCCACTCAACACCCCCCTCCCCAAAAGTCAATATCCAGCTTTTATGATTAAAATGAATGACAGTGTCCTCCTTCAGAGCAAAGTCGTTGAGAAGTATCTGCAAACACAGTTTAGCACAAATACAGTGTGGCCTACAGTTCACAGAGCAGTGGTAGCTGCCTGCACATCTGTCCTCAAGGGGGGACATCTGCTAGCTCACTTCTCACCTTCCCCATACAGACCTGCTCCTGTGGAACTCAGGCAGGTGTTCCCTAATGAGATCTACTGGAACAAGAATGGAGGCGGTGTAGATGGATTTTTGTGTGTGTGTCCCTTTCCTTTCACCTCTTGTCGCTGATTTGCCAGCTCCAGAGCATAAAAAACAGTGATTGTTTTTACAGGGAGAACAGGATACAGAAATGGTGCTAAATGAGCAAGCTCTTTGGTAACCTGTTTGTTTGGAGCAGACATAGCAAGACTAATTGGCAAAGAAGCATGAAGCAGAACTGGCTGTCAAGGAGCCCCATAATGCCCTGTACCATGGCCCTTTCTGCCTCGCTTGGAAGAACACGTGGTAACTTACATCCACAGCCTTAAAATTAATCCTATTTGATACTCTTCTGAAAAAAAAAACCCCAACAAAAAATCCCTAAAACAGGAGACATACAGCTTTCCACTTTGATTAATCCAATGCGAATCTGTTGTAGACAGCCTCTTCTTTTGTGCTCTTGAATAGAAATGAGCTCGAGACTATTGAGAGTTTCAACTGTTTCAGAAATCTAGGAAAAAATGAAAAGTCTGTGGCAGCTTTGTCTGCTTTGCCTATTCAATTAACATACCATCCAAGGAATGGTAGAGTTATAAGAGATCAAAAAGGAGCTTTCACTGTCCTCAGTGTCCCTTGGTGGGTTTTTAGATTTTCAGAACAAATCATCCACTCCTGTGGTGAGGGAAAGACCCTTTTCCGTCACCGAAACACCCCAACTACTGTTTGTCCAGGCCAGTCCTCTTCTTCCTGAGACCCATCCCAAGAGAGGTGGATATTCATGGGCATCTCTTCTCAGGTGCAGATGGGATATCACCACCCTTCAGGATGAACACCAGTTTTGCAGTGATTTACTTCTCTGCATTAAAACAGAAAAGCAAATGATGAAATTAAAAATTTTGGTGTCAATGGACTGGGAAGGGGTGAAGCTCTTCTTAGTGAATTTCCTGGTATTAATGTTTTTTACTAGAGGAAATGATACATGTGCTGTTGCACTGTCTGTCTGCTCGATTCTTCTCTAATACTGCATGAACCCATTCATTGCATTGAGCTGAATTATCTCAAAGACAGTTTCTGTAAATGCCAAGGGAGTTGGTGGCTGAATAGGGGAGAAATACCCCAGTGGGTTCTCCCACCGAGGCAATATTGGCAGTTTTCAGGTCGCTTGTGTTCTCTTTGGCATCAGCCAGCTGTGCAGGCAGCACAGGCTTAGTCCTGCACTGGCTGTCCCTTCCTGTGGTGTTACCACAAAAAAAAGATAGAGCTGCTGCGGCTAAGAATGAGCATAGTGGTGGTGGCCCCGAGCCCATAGGAAACAACATGCTGTTGATTCCCCTATTCTTGTTTTCTCTAGGGGAGCAATAGCCCATTTTGAGCTACTTCATTGGAGAACTCAAAGTACCTTCAAATCAGTCATGCTAACCATTGATATGTTTTCACTCTAACTCTCCAACACTCAGAGCCTTTGGAGATTTTAGTTTGTTCTTTTTCCCCAATTAATTTGTTTTGTCTGTTGGTCATGGCTGTTGTATAAATAAGTCTTTAGTGTTTTTAAACAAACAAACAAATCAAAGAAAGGAGAATACCATGAGTAAAGCAAGCACCTTTGAAACACACTCCTAAGTTAGAGAAACACCCGCAACAGGACAAAATACTAGAGTAAAAGGAAAATAATCAGATTAGGAGGGGAAACGTTACCTCAGTATTATGGCACTGAGTATTAGTAGTGAGACTTGCAGAACCTATGTGTCATTGAAAAATAGTGTGCTTTTTTTGCCTTTTTTTTTTAAGGCAGAATTATAGCAACCTCATAGACAAAATCCACATTTGCAGCAAAGTGAGAAGAAATTATTGAAATTATTTCAGGTCAGGGAAAAGGATCACAGACCCTGCTATATCTGAGAGGTTTTCTGGCAGCAGAAAACTAGAGACTTTTTTTACTTTATGTATTCAGCAGAAGTGATAAGGATTGGGTGTATCTGCTGAATTTCAGTTCATCCTCACTAGCTTTGCTGCCATTACAGTCCCAGAAATTTAGGACTTGGGAGGAGGCGGCATTTGTTTCCTATTGACCTTTACAGGGTCTCAGTAGTAAAACACCAGCTTAAAAATACGGAAATACTTTGTATTAAATATTAAGTAACAGCAGTTTGCACACTATAAGGAAGAAAACTGGAAAGATGTGAATAAACATTACTTACCTCTGAACAGTACACTGCTGCCTTTCTATGGCTAAGCTGGAAAACTGCATATGTAAGTAACATTGATTAAAACGTTTTTTAAATAACCACAAAACTCCAGTGATCCTTGCTGCTTTCTGTTCTCACTGGATGTGTTGCAAACCCAGTGATACTCCGTGTTCTGTGAGGCAGGAACAGGCCCAGATTGCTAATGTTCTCCCTTGGCCCGAAAACAGAGTTCTTGTTCTCGTAACACTGCCATTTGAATCTGCACAATTTGAGGGAAATCAGCATATTCCTATCCGTCAAACTGATTTTTAGTGTGAATTTAACTCCATTCCCGAAGAGCCAATAACATCTGAATGCATTCCAGTTTCCATTGTAATTCATGCTTAGATGGAATTCTGCAGAATAGCTTTACAGCCCTGAACAGGGCTCAACTCCCTTAAACATCGCTGGGAGACTTTTTCTATTCAGTGCCATGGATCTTGAGTCTGACCGTTATTTGCTCTCTCTTTGGACAAAAGATGTCAGGCAATTCTTGCACCTTCACATTTATATCATGTTCAGTAGATCTCTGCTGGCCAGTTATGAAGATGGGGTATGACTCAGCTCTGCCTCACCATTCTTACAGGCTGGATCTTTCTCCTGATATAGGTAGGGCTGGTATTGCTTGGTATTACTTACACCAAGTCCTGTTACAAGAGTATGTTTAGTGGTTCATAGCTCAAATAAAACATTTGGTCTGAAATTTTCATACTAGTGATATATCTTTCCTGGAACGAAAACATATATATAAATTTTCTTTTTTCATACCGGGAAAAACTGTTTGTACTCAAC